TAAACTTCGCATTTCCCTAAAACTAGAACAACCCACATCCTTAACTATTTGCGAAGAGTAATCTAATCTAGGTCTACCTCTACCCCTCCTAACTCCTGTTTCTGCCTCTAATATGTCTCTGACTAGACCTTCATGCCTAAGCTTGAGCTTTAAATATAAATTAAATTAAATTTCACTCTCTTACATCTACACTAGTAACAAACATTCACGTATTAATATATAACATTACTTCAAATTACTAAATTAAACAAGTAAAAGTTAGATATATAAGAAGTGCCAAAAACCATCTTCCAAGAACCAAATGAAGATATACACATTAGTACAATCACATTTGAAATTATAAATTTATATTTTTGATTTTATTTTATTTTTTTTTGAAGTAATATTTTCTGATATTAACCATTTTTTAAATATAAATTTAAGAGAGATAGAGCAATTAAGTGTCTTAATGTAATTTGGAAGATTATTGTAAAGTTGAATTACTTTAATAAAACTATCTTTTCTACCTACGTATAAACTAGTAATTTCGATTTTTCCCTTTAGAAAATTTAATTTTTAAATAATGCTTCTGACAAGAAAATTAATATTACTTACTACCGTCAACCCCCTTTATATTATCATTATTACATTAATTATAATTCGCGGAATATGGTATATAATACCAAGACAATGAATTTTAAATTTACATTGTACTTGTGACAGTTTTTAATACGGTTTTTGTGATTCGTACACCAAGCGTATCAATTCTGTACAAAAATTCCCAAGTTTCTTTTGGTATACTTTAGCTGGTTGTTTATCGCATCATTGAACACAGTTTTTATTAATTAGTTCATTTGACTGTGGTTAAATATTTCGTAAAGGAACGCACTTCGTTCAATAAAATAACACGATATTAACAATGACCTTTGGAAGGTTTTGCCTTTTTGTCAATGTAAAAATTTACCATGCAAGGTTTCCCTAATCTAATCAAAGCGCTCATACAAAAAAAAAGTTAACGAGACTTGTACCATGGGAAAGTTTTTTGCCAAAAAGAGAGAAAGCTAGACAAGACTTAATTTTAATTTGTTAGTATTGTACTTTTGTACTATTTGCCATAATCTTATGATGATCTGGTCCAATGATAGTTATACTGTTAAAGAGTTAAAGTAAGTTCTACTATACGATGTCATTATTCAAATAAAAATGTGCTCCTTACGTGAAAAACCCATAAAAATGTGCGATGTAGAAAGGTACATGTAATACAGTGCGATGATTTCATAAAAATAAATTAAACATGTTTAAAGTGCTTGCAATAATTACCATCTTTTTTTTAACTCGTAAGTATATTTATTATTTGATAAGAAAAAGATTGTTCATCACAATTACTTTGACGACGTCATCGAAAATTTTTTGTTGTTCTTGAACTAATTAAGATGTAATGATGAACTTTTTTTATATATATATATAATCTTTTTGTTTATAATGTATTAACATTATACTTTCATTGAGAGGTTTTATACCCTACCTACTAATGAGTTTTTAATGTTTCTTTACTTGTGAATGTACAGGGCGAATACTAAATTACTTGTCGTAATCTGTAAAAAGGTACCATCTAGTTTTAGCATAATTAATAAAATATAATTCCTTCCAGCTTGCTTAACAACATTCGAATTAAAACTAAACATTCGCCTATTAAATAAAATAATCGAAGACATTCTGAGCATAGTATACGGGGTGGAAATATTTGAAAAAACTGCATGCTCTTCTGTGAAGGACCATCATATCAAAATTTATCTGTCGACATCATGGACCCCTGAGAAGGAATACATTCTTACCCCTAGCAATCTAGATAATCTCACCCATTTTAATATATCGCTCGAGACCAAATTTTTAACCCACGGATGGTTGTCCGGGGCCAAAGTGGACTGGCTGATAAATATGAGAGACGCTTACCTAGAAAACGGTCAATACAACGTATTAACTCTGGGTTGGGAGGAATATGCAGTTGGCAGATATTCATATTCGAAATGCTTTTTAAATAAGGTAGCAGAAAGGGTTGGTCATTTTTTATATGACTTAAAGCAGATAACTTCACTAAATTTGAACGAAATTCATCTAATAGGACATTCCCTTGGTGCTCATTTATTCGCTCTAGCTTCGCAAACAACCTTTCGATTAACAGGTAAGTTAAATATAAAATGTTAAAAATTTATGTAAATGGAAATTTTAACATTTACGGTTAAACATACAACGCGATAATTAAACCCTTTAAAGAATTTTGCTATGTATGATATGCGTATGAGCATTACAAAATGCATAACACACGGAATAGAAAAAGAAAACTGCTTATAAACAGTGCGAAGATATTTAAAGTGGAATTTTTTCATAAGGTTTTAATTTTTTACTTTGTAAGGAAGTATGAAAAACAACAACATTACTATTGGGATCCGTCAAATGGGCGTACACCATCTGGTGGCAAAATTTATAACTCGAATGAGGGAAAAATTTATATAGGAACTGTGCACGCAAATTGTAAAATTGTTTATTAAAATAATAAAACACGTTAAAAAAGTAAAAATTTTTTTGATGATGGAGTCGACGAAGTTTTCTTCTAAAGTTAAATCAAATAAAAAGTTAATATGTTCAGTGAAAAGCTGCAATAGCACTTCAGACATAGATCTTCACTCTTCACCTACATTAACTACTTTCCAATAAAAACTAACCGTTTTATATATGTAAAAAATATATTCGGAAAATTAGAGAAAAAAGTAAACTAATAGAAGCTTGGATGAAAGCAGTAGGTATCAAAGAAGTGAATTCCGGAATAAAAATTTGTTCACGTCATTTTAATGCACATGATTATATTTCAGCAAGTATTTACCATCAGCCATAACCTTAATATTTAAAACTAGAATCATACTAAAATTATAAAGTGAGAAATTATTTATTCCTGTGTAATTGATTTAACACAATTCTAATGATACGATATAAGTATTTTGAGGTTAAGAACCTACCTGCTGCAATACAACAAAGTTGCAATAATGTGTTTGCAACGTTCTCTTAAATCGGCTTTGCACGTGCAAGTCATTGATATGATATTGCTTAAATCACCCAGAATCACCTCACCAATTATATAACGTGAATCACTTTTTAAATCCGAAGTTTGTAAAAAGTAGGCAGTAAACTTGACGGAATTTGAAGGCTAGCTTCCGGATTTGTTATTTCCGAATTTTATAATGTGATTGGCATTAAAAACACGCTCACCTTCAACGAAATTTCCTTTCCGAGGCTTTGTGTCAGCCCAATCACATATTGTGTCAATACTTATCATTTTATCGTAATTTAAAAACTTGGAAATTGCACGGTACACTATAGGAACTACGATAAATTTTCCCTAATCGGCGCCATGTTTTTAGGCTCCTCCCATTTGAAGGATCCCAGTAGATCAGGGTTGAGCAACACGCGACCCGTTAATTATGTTTCTGCGTCCCGCCAAGCATTTCTAAAATTGAATTTATTTTATACGAAAATGTTTTCCTCGCTATTTAATATCGATGTGGATACGGTTCTCGAAGACTTTCAAATGGAAGTGATTGACAAGCAGAATAATACCGATTTAAAAAATGTATTTTTCTCAGTAAACATAAAAACTTTTTATAAATCGTATGTGAGCCCTGAGAATTTTCCGCTTTTGACGAAAAATGCAAAGCAAATGATGTCTCTGTTCAGAAGTACGTACGTTTGCGAACAATTATTTTCAAGCAAGAAATAAATCAAAAATGACCACCGATCAGGACTAAGTGATGCACGATTAGAAAGCTGCGTACGTGTAACTGCCTCATCAATTTCGGTTGTTATTGATCAGCTTGTATCGAAAAAACAGTACCAAATTTCCCGTTAAAAATTTCAAGACAATTCCTTTTATTGTTATTTTCTTGTTTGTTTTTATTTTGCATTAAAATTTGTATATTTAATCATTTACGCATACCTGTAAATTTTAACGTAAGTGAATATCCAAAAATTGCAAACGAATTATTTACCAAGGAAAATATCGATCAATCTGCCAGCAAGTGTGCGGTGNATTTTATGTGCGGCCCGCCAAAAAATTTTAAAATTTAAATTGGCCCGTTGATTAAAAAGGTTGTTCACCCCTGCTACAGATAATAAGAAAGGGTGGATCCAGAATCAATTCTTGGCGAGAGGGCGGGGTGGACGGGACTTTTTCTAAACTCTAGAAATATTATTGTTTTTGAAACAGTATTTGTGTAGCGTTTTAAATAATAGTAAAAAAATTTGACTCCTTCAATAACAAAACAACTCTCACGAAACAAAAAAATATCCGTCCAAATGATTTCATTTATTGCATTAAAAAATCTTGCAGTTTCTATAATGATTTCTCCATTACATTTACATATGTGCTTTTTTTGGTTAAAAATAAAGGCAGTCATTTTTTTTATTTTTGTTTTTTCAATGTTCAGGAATCAGGGGCAAATTTTCTATTTCCAATTTTTCTCACACAACCGTTTTGACATATTACTAAAGTAATCTTTGTCATACAACTCCTGAGGGAAGGGTATTTCCCCTTTGGATCCGCTACTCTATTATCTAGTCTCTAGTGTATAAACATATAGGTTGCCGTTATGTACGGACTGCATTACAGTGTAAACTCTTTATAACGTCACTCGATTTAATTCCTTAAAACGTCGAAATTGCTTGACTTTGGTTAGTTTACATTATTTTCTATACAATATTACACTCTATACAACGTCACGCTCACTCTATTTAACGACAACAATGCGGCATTATAAATCATTAAGCAGTACTTTCTAAGTTGCCGAAATAGATAAGAACTGCAGCTGTGTACGTTGTTGAAGAAGACGATCCTGTCCCTCCACCAAGCATCAAACAA